GCTCATGTAATAAATCAAACACAGTGGCACCCCACCCACCTCTTTCCATTTTGGAAACGCTCCTTTATATACACTTACCTCTATATATGACATTAATAACCAATGGAAAGCTAAGAATGTACCCCTAATGGCATTCTTTGCCATTTTAATGTGTTTGGCTGCCATCTCTATCTTTCAAACCAAGATTTCAAGAAGGTAGGTTGTGTCTTTAGTCTGCTCAAAATTTCATATTTTTTAGACTGAAATACAGCTTAGTTACTCAGCCTAATAAATTATAGTGGGATTCTATGTTATTGATATAGTTATTTATGATTTTGTGGCTATATAAAACCTAAAAAAATTATTTCGTTTCATATCCTCTATGTGCAAAATTTTAAAAGGCTTAACAACCTACGGCAAGCAGCAACTGAGTACAAAGGTCGTAACTAGAAAAGATAATTGTTTGCTTTACTTCTTTATTTACTGTTCTGTGTTTTATGAAAAATAAGTTTAAGAACTTATTTCTAAATAGCAATAATCTGTATACATATATAATGTATAATAATTGAAATGTGACTGTATTTTACAAAATACTTGTCTACTAAAACACAGCCCAGACAGGTCACTTTGTAAAAACTAAAGGTCAGTTTTATATTATTGGATATGGTAACATGAGTGCATATGCGCCACGACATTGTAACTTGTGTATTGTTAGCTAGGCGTGCCTGAAAGATCGATATAATAAAAATGATATATGTACATGTATAATGTTATGAGATTTAAGCTATTTAGTCTAAACATTTATGTTTTCGTGTTATAATTTGAGTCACTCTACAGTGAAAAAGTCATCATTTATATTTATTTCCTATTTTTTTAACATGGTTACGAGATCAGTCAAATTGACCAAACCCATATAAAGATTAATTATTGAAAATAACAGATAAAATATAAAGTTTTTCTTAAGAAACATTTGATAATTATCTGGATATTATAAAGATATTGCATGTGAAATTTGTAAATTTTCTGATGCACAAAGTATTTTTAATTTTAAAATGAAAATTACTTTGCATGTTGGATAGGCAATATGCAAAAAGAAAAAAAAGTCTTGAGAAAAACATTGCTTTGCAAACCTTAAGACTTAATAAAGAATTTGATATTTTGCATACAAAAGCATTGTAATGTTTACTGATAATCTGCCAAATTTTGTTAACACATGTTTACTTATTTAAAACTTATAGTATGAAGCTGTAATAAGTAACAAAATGGTTATGAGGTTGGTCCCCAGGGACTGAACCCCTGCTGAAAGAGTTAACCTATGTCTTATCTCTTTTCTCACTGAACCAATATTTGTGGGTGTCCTTAATTCTTTGGTGTCTTGGACTGGACCTGCTCACCAACAGTATTTCTTCAATCCTCTGGTGTCCGATTCACTAGACGATGAATATCTCAGTTGCCTATCCCCATCTCCTTGTCTTATCACTTCTACTCGCCATTCCTCTTTCTGCAAGGTAGACTGCCTTGGCACCTGGGTTTCATCTTTGGAACTGATTCTTGTCTCTGGAACAGTTGATACCTGCCTTTCCTGCCTCACACACTTGCAATCTCCTTTCTTTAGCAACCCTTTGATTATGCAAGTTCTTTTTTATGGTCTATCCATGCTTTTCTGTACTTCATTTCCTCTTTCTCTTCATCCTTTTCCCTCTAATCCTCTGTTGTTTGACATCTTCCTGGGAATTTCTTGATTCTTATACAGGGTAGGTTTAACCATCTTCCTTGCACCTTCATGCTGTGGAGATCTTGGTATTGAAGGCTCATTGCTTTCCTTCTCTTCCTGTATGTGAGGTTCTCTTGCTTTGGGGGACCGACCTCTCTCTACACATGTATCCCTTTTAATAGGCTCTAGGGGACTGTCACAATGTCCTGGAATTCATTATCTGCCCTTGTGCCTCTCCTTTCATCTTTGCTTCCCTCTCTGTCATGGTGGTTCGATCACTCCAACATGACGTTAGGTATTCTCTCCCACCCCTCCACTTAACTTGCATCTTTAAAGTGATGCCTTTCTTTCCAGTTGGAGTAGGGGTGGGGGAGTTCTCAATACTTTCTCTGGAGTCTGGGCTCAAGAGAAGTGATTACTACTTATTAACTAGCTATTAAGGCATGCCTAAATCTTTGGTCACAGTTGTTAGGTCATCTCAAACTGATCCATTCTGACACTATGATAATTTCTTATATTAATCATCAGGAAGGCACTCGCATTCAGGGCCTGTGCTTTACCTGTTTTTTTTGTTTTTTTTTACATAGGCCCTTTTGGACAATTGCCATTTACTGAGCAGTGTTACTTATGCCTTTTGCCCCTTGCCCAGTACTATTTCATTTCTTTCAGCTATTGTATCCTTTTACACACTTGTGGTTGCCATCATTCACATGTTCATGCCTTTGCAGTGTTCCATTCCCAATCATCTTTTATGTCCAGTTAAGGCTGCCCATTGCTATCCTGTTTGGACTGCCCCCAGTTTTTCTCATGGTTTACCTCATCTTCTAGGATCTTATCATCTTCCATCTGTCTGGTTGGATTCATCTAACTGACATGTCATTTTTTTTAGATGAGTCTGACCAAATGCTTTTTAATGTCACCTCCCATCAGATTTGACATATCTCTGCTTCACTTGCCTTCTTTTGATGCCAACCTTTGGAGGAGATCTTGCAGACTGGAATGTGGACTTCACCTAACACATTCATCTCCCTTTACTTTCACCAGTGAGCAGTTTCATATGTATCTGGTTTGTGCCTCTCTTCATTCTACCCAGAAGCTCTAGTATATTGAGTTGTGCCTGTTTATTTTAATTTCCAGTTCCATCACTGATTTTGAATGTTCTGTATGATCCTGACACAACCTTTTTGTACACATCCACAAAAAAAAAAACAAGGAGGTAAAATGCACCAAAGAAGAGAAAAAACAAAAGCCAAACACCCATGTAACATGAGAAACTAAACACTACATTACTTATGTATGGGGGCCCAGCATGGCCAGGTGGTTAGGGTGCTCAACTTGCAATATGAGGGATGCAGGTTAGAATCCCTGTCCCACCAAACATTTTCGTCCTTTTAGCCATGGGGGTGTTATAATGTGACAGTCAGTCCCACTATTCGTTGGTAAAAGAGTAGCCCAAGAGTTGGCGGTGGGTGGTGATGACTAGCTGCCTTCCCTCTAGTCTTACATTGCTAAATTAGGGACGGCTAGTGCAGATAGCCCTTGTGTAGCTTTGCATGAAATTCAAAACAAAGAAACTTATGTATGGTGCAATTGGATCTCAGTAAATGGCCAGTGTTGCTTTATAGGGAATGCTTATCTGAAATCTGCATCGAGCTAGGGAGTACGAAAATGTTAAACCCATCCTCCCCTACTCTGTATCCACCAATGAGATAAGGTTTTCTGTAAGACTGCTTTTGCAGTAAATCTATATAATTGACCTGGCTGTTTACACACCATTTACAAAAACAAATAAAAAAAACAAACAGCACCATGCTTAGCCCTGCTCTTACACCTAGCTCACACCTAGCTGTCTTTAGTTATAATAATCCATTACATTGCCTCTTTGTGGGCAATCATCATTCCAGATGATTGTGTTTAATGACAGTGGTCCACGTCTACTCTCCAATGTTCTGTCCTACACATATCCCCCCTCCTTCTGGGGAAGTCAGTGTGTAGAGTTTTCTCTGGAAGTGGTGCCTTCCTCCCAGTATAGACCAGCTGGGCCTTAGCCTTGTTTTAGATATAGGGGAGAATTAACTGGAAATGTAGCACTGGTACAACATCTACCAAGCAATTTCCAGTTGATATATCTAGCTGGATGTGAATCAGATTTGCCTTTGGATGCAAGTGAGGTTTTTTTTCCTTCCTCCATTCATCATTATATTATCTATCTCATGTGTGTGTATTTGACCAAAAGAGAATGGTTTAAAGCCATGTGGCATGCTTTTCTGCCTACCTTCACACGTAACCATCAGCACTGAATTTTCCTGATATCCTTTACTCTACTGTTACAGTAACTTAACACTTGTAAAAGTCATTGAATGAAGAGTAGTCCCTGGTTCACTAGGCAACCCCTGGTCTCATGGAAATCACATCCTATGGTCTTTCCCTTTCTGCAAGTATTTCAGAAAGATCTTATCTTTTTAATTGTTCAGCACTACCCCCTTCACCATTTTCTAGTTCTTAGTGGTGCAGGAAGGTAAGTAATGTTTTCTAAGGTGATATTTTCCTTACCTGAAAATGTATTTCAGATAGATACTTAACTCTCTATGCCACCTCCTACCTTTTCTCCCCTCTCCAGATGCATTTTATTTGCTTCATCAAAAATGAGTCATGATCATGTGCTAGTGTTTGTGGGGATTATTGAAGGTCATGTCACCCTCCTATTCCTAGAGGCTACAGCATTATGATTATAGACTGGTGAAATACACAAAGAAACTTTAGGAGTAAGAGTTTGTTCAAGGCTTGTGATATGCACAGGAAATTCTACAGCAGTTGCAAATGTGGCAATAGCTTTTAGTGGTGCAGAGAGATAAGTACCTATCTAAACTTCAGGTAAGAAAAATGTTACCATTGTACTTTATACAAAAGTTTCACAACTTTAATAAACATACTTCATATACTGTAGAAGTAAGACTTGCATAAATCATGTAATATCAATTTAAAAATTATGTAAACAGCAATCGGATAATTTCTCTTAGTACTCCTTTGTGTTTACCAAAGTAACCTAAAATGTCTGTGTATAGTCACTCCTTTAGTCAGGATGATAAGAGACTAGGTGATACTAATTTTTGTCATACATATTGCACATTATTTTTTCAATCTTGAGTTATATCTTTCATTAAATATTATATATGAGGTATCTTTTCTTAATTTCTGAAATTATGATCATACACTTTTACAGTGTAAGCATAATAACTCAGGTTTCTAAATATTCTGTATTTACTTTACTGTTCATTGTAGTTACAGTAGTTCAGATGACTCAGTGTTTTTTATTTATATCTGCCAGGACAGTAATGTTCAGTATAGCTACAGTAGTTCAGGTGACTCTGTGTTTCTTACTTATGGCTATCAGGACAGAAATATTAAATATAGCTACAGTAGTTCAGATGACTCAGTGTTCTTTACTTATGTCCATCAGGACAGAAACGTTCAATATAGTTACAGTAGTTCAGATGACTCAGTGTTCTTTACTTATGTCCATCAGGACAGAAACGTTCAATATAGCTACAGTAGTTCAGATGACTTAGTGTTTTTTACTTATGTCTATCAGGACAGAAATGTTCAGTGTAGCTACAGTAGTTCAGATGACTCAGTGTGTTTTAATTATGGCTATCAGGACAGAAATGTTAAATATAGCTACAGTAGTTCAGTTGACTCAGTGTTTCTTACTTATGTCTATCAGTACAGAAATGTTACGTTTGTACAGTAGTTCAGATGACTCAGTGTTCTTTACTTATGTCTGCCAGGACAGAAATGTTCAGTATAGCTACAGTTGTTCAGATGACTCGGTGTTTCTTACTTATGTCTATCAGGACAGAAATGTTACGTTTGTACAGTAGTTCAGATGACTCAGTGTTTTTTTACTTATGTCTATCAGGACAGAAATGTTCAGTATAGCTACAGTAGTTCAGATGACTCAGTGTTTTTTACTTATGTCTGCCAGGACAGATATGTTCATTATAGGTACAGTAGTTCAGATGACTTGGTGTTTTGTACTTATATTTGTCAGTACACTGGTTATTTAGGGGAGTTAAAATAGTTCAAATTCCCCAGTATTAGTACTTATTTTTGTTAGAGCTTCTTGAAGAAAAAGCATGATGTAATGAATTATGTATAATTATAGATGATCTTGACGAAAAAGATAAAGCAAAGAAAAATTATAAATTGAAGAAGATGAAAAATAAAGAAAAGGCAAGAAATAAAGAAAAAGATGAATTAGAACAAAGTAGAGAAAAGACAGCAACGAAACCTAAGAAAAAAGGGTGGTTATCAATCATATAGTTTTATAAAAGTTTCAGTAAATTGTCATGTAACTTTGAAGCCAATGTGAGTAATTGAACTATATAACTTGTTTTATTAGAGAGTTGAATTATGATGTTGTTTAAACACTATCACCTTCCATCAGTATTTTGTGATAATTGTAATCTAAGGATAAACAGGTGCTACTTAACTGTGATCATAACGATTGATACTGTTTTCTTTATGTTTTGTTTGAAGCATTCCGTTTTTTGATGATAATGGATTATATTTTGGTTCATCCTGTGTTATGACAGCAAAATCTTAGATTTCCAGCTACATTTTCTATAGATGTTTGTGAGAAATCATTTTGTAGCTCATTTTTATTTCATTTTTTACTTATTTAAGAAGTGGCGTATTTTTAAAACAATGACTAGCTGAATATTTTCTTTAAGCTTTGGTACTATTGAGGTTTTACAAAACGTTTAATATATTATTTTGCTTGATACAGACTTTCCAAGATATGATACATAAGTTGGAGATAAATTATAAAGCTTGCCAATTTTGAAATTGTTATATTGTAATTGTTACAATTTTATCAAGCTTTCCTATATAAAAATTAGAAATTATTTATAATGCATATAGCATTGTTGTCCAAGTGAATAAAAATAAATTTTCACAATTTTCAGGTTTTAAGTTCTTCACTTTCAAGAAATTCATTCTTTCTTCATAATCACACGAACATTCATGTGCATACATTCAACATTTAGACCAAAGATAGACCCAAGTATCATCACTGATTATGTTTCTGACCCATAAACATGTATGTTTCTCATGACTCAGTTTTCAGAAGAAAGTAGTGCATCAACTCTACCACTAAACTTCCATATCTAAGGAAGATTTGGAAACATTATTTTTAAGTTGTTTTGTTCCATTAAAAAATGTAATTAATGTTAAAATATTAGTAAGAAGTAAATAGTTTAACGTGTTTACCTTCTATAATGTATTCAGTGTAACCTTAATTGAATATAGTTATTAAAAAAATTCCTTTAAGTAAGCAATTGATCTGTAAATGAAAACAGTAGTAATTAACTCAGAACTCAATAAAAAAATTAATACATTCGTACAGAACTGCATTGACATTGCACATTCTCACTGCAGCTGAGTAAAGTGGATCACAGGAATCCAGAAGAATGTCTGCTTAGTGTTACACCTTGCACGTGACATTCCAGGATTTTGTTTCGTTGAACGCTGCCATATTGGAAGTCAATCATTCCCTTCTAGCGTTCCATGTTGAGACAAGCTCTGCTTTACATGTTGTCAGTGGCGTAAATATTACATTTCGAAAAAGATAGGAATCCAAAACTACGACCATTCAGTTTCTAACTAACTGACTTTGCAGTAATTTAGTTAATTATATCTACCAAGCCCTGAAGGGGCTTGAGAGACAACGGGGTGCTCGGAAACTGTTGTTTCTCTTCAGCCTCGCATGTGAGTTTAGTTATTTAATTCTACAAGGGAAAGATTGATCATATATCCTTCTTCACGGGTATAGCTAAGCTAGTACCATGACAGGTAACATGACTATTCAGCTTCTCAATATACCTTTTCTTATGTACATCGCTAAAATGATGATTTAAGGCATACGATAAATAACACCATATAGAAGACGTTATATTTTCACATGACACAAATGTAACCATATGAAAATCCAATATGGCGGAGTAAACTACAGACCACGTAACTTTTTGACGACAGCGCAAGACTATACACGATAAAAAAATCAAAATATTGACAGATATTTTGGTTTAAAATCTCAAAAGCCCTGAAGAGGCTTGAGAGAAAACCAGGGGCACTCAAAAACAGTTATTCCTCTTTACCCCACTTGCAAAATTATTTAAATTTTACTTGAATGTTAGAGGTTACTAATTAACAGGGCAGTAATATAGGTTTTATATGTAACAAGCCCCAAAGGGGCTTCAGAGACAACCAGAGGCGCTCAAAAAAGAGTTGTTCCTCTTTACCCCACTCACAAAATTATTTAAATTTTACTTGAATGTTAGAGGTTACTAACTAACTAACAGGGCAGTAATATAGGTTTTATATCTAACAATCCGCAAAGGGGCTTGAGAGACAACCATAGGTGCTCGGAAACTGTTGTTTCTTTTCAGCCCCGCTCGCGATTTTAAGATTTTGATTATACTGGGAGGGGGGGAGATGACTGAAGGTGACGGAGATACGAGCAAAGAGGTGCAGTACGCCCACCCAAAATGAATTGATTAACACAACAACACTACGTGTTTTATATTTTAAGATATTACATATATTTGAAATACAAGAAGAATTAAACTTAGATTGAAATAAGATAGTATATGTTAAATGTTCAGGAATTTTGGATTAAACTTTCAAGGTATTAGTTAAATACTTTAGTTAATTAGGAATTGCGATTAAGCATACTAGACGCGCTTTTTCTCGGGGCCTGGGATCTACATATCCAATAGCCGAAATTTTGATGTGGGAGTACCCGAAGAAAACCACTTTCACTGGACAGGTGTCGAATAAATATACCTGCCCAGAGCTTCAAATGAAATGGTGGGTTATTGCAAATATACGAATACATAAAATTCACTAAGGTCGTGATGTTAACGGAGAGATATAACCTGGCCCTAGTAGCTGGGGTTGACGCGATTCGGGTAAATTCTTGTGTTTGTGTGTTCCTTGTTGTTGTGCGTTTGTAATAACGAGTAGCAAAATTAATAAAGGTAGTTAGGCTAGTGAAAAGGGGTATTCCAGTTGCTAAGCGGGTTTTACTTGCAGGGCGTGAGTGGTGTTAATAAGTGGTTTAAGGACTACAAGCTTGACGTGTTTGGTGTAGTGAACGTGAGTAATGAAGATTCTCAAGACATCCGGGAAGGCTGCTGTGTCGCAAATTGAATGCAAGAATTTGCGCAACAGGAAGAAGAGTTTGTTAAACTGGTTTTTACTTGAACACTGGTTATTCTTGCATGGTGAAAACTGATATATCTGGAATGACACAAGTTACTAAGGTTGTAACAAACATGGCGAGTTCCTGAAAATTAGTAGACCTGAACAACTGGTACAACGTCATTAGTTAAAATCGGTAAATGGGTTGTAAGGTTAAAAATTACAGGATGAGTATCCACATTACTTCAAACACATCTACTGCATTCCGGACCAGATTTTAGATAAACTCAAAATATGAAACATACACGATAGAATATTAAGTCAAGTCTGGACACAATATTGTTGCGTTAAAACTTCTTAAGTAAAAAATCGTATCCGCACATACCTAAGTAAAGACGTCGTACGTTTATTTTCTAAGTTATGAAAGTATTACAGCCATCTTACACCAATATTGTCGGCGTGTGCAGTCTTAGCACTTTCTGCGTCGATAAACACGTCCATTAAGACCTTTATATAAATAAACGCATTGAATCAGTTGATACTAGAAAAGAAACTTTATCAAAATTTCACTAGGTTCCATCATCAACAAGTTTACTTCTCCGTGACGTAACTCAACTGTAAACGTGACGGTACATCACCCATATAGGGCAAAAAGTATTTATAAAGTAAACTTTATAAATATCGTAGCAAAAATATTTTTATTTTGAATAAAACCTTCATAAGTATTGATTCGAAAGTGTTTATTTGATCCCAAGCACAAAACTACACAATGGGCTTTGTGTAATTTGCCTATCGCGGGTATCGAAACTCGATTTTTAGTGTTATAAGCCCTCAGACATATATCGCTGAGCCATTGGGTGGAGTGTTCGAAATCCAACTTCGTTTTCAACCCCCGAAGGTTTTGTATCGAATATATTGTGTGATAAGTACATGTTCAGATTACTCAAACTTTAGTACTCCAAGTGCTACGAGCATCACAGAATTACGTATTTGTTGAAGTTATTAATTGCTTAACAATATTATCGCAGGAAATCACATAAGTTGTTGCTGATTATGAATATCTTAATTTTCACACATAACTAGTTTAGTCGCTTCGTAACCTTGCCTATATGTGACACTAAGTGGATGAGTGTCACACCATATCTCGGGCAAATATCCAACTTTTATACATCTGGAAAATGGTGAGGATGAGTTTAGAAATTAGGTTATCATTAAAACTCTGTGAAGATTTGTTCAGCTTCAGAACATTTCCTTTCTATCTATATATATATATTTACAGCACACTAATCTATAATTACCATTGGAATCCGTTTCGACCATTTAAGCACATTGTGGCTGTAGGTTAGAAAAGTGACAGTCAGTTCTTTTAGCGGAAGGCCTGGCATAGACAGGTGGTTAGGGTGCTCGACTCGCAATCTGAGGATCGCAGGTTCGAATCCCCGTCCCGTCAAACATGCTTGCCCTTTTGATATAATGTCACGGTCAATCCCACTATTCGTTGGTAAAAAGAGTATCCCAAGCGTTGGCGGTGGGTGGTGATGGCTAGCTGCCATTCCTCTAGTCTTTCACTATTAAATTAGGGACGACTAGCGCAGATAGCCTTCGTGTAGCTTTGCGCGAAATGCTACCTGTAATCCACTTAAGGTTGGCATAAATCATGCAACATCGTACAGGTTGAGGTCGAGGTCAACGTACCTGACCCTCCCAGGTCTTAAAGACCTAAATGCAGATATAGGGTGCTACCTTTCTTTTTCGGCGTTTCAGTGTGATATCGATTATGGTATGCTACTCTTATTTTGCAAGAGTACTAAGTGGATCCTGTCAAATAGAAGTATGTTCATTTTAAGTTTAATACGAGGCTATTATTTAGTTTATATTGCGTGAGCGTTAAAGTGAGTTATTTTTACAAACGATTGTTATGACAAGTTTGTTTACGAATCATTTGTCGTATAGTTATTGTTTTGAATTGACATCATCCTTCTGAATTTTTCTCGTTGCTTTTAAGTGAGTATTGCCAGTTTTTGACGTAAATGAGAATTATTTAAAGTTCTGGATATCATATCTACTATACAATACTGTATTTCCAATAACAGCCAGAGTGTATTTGAATGTTGTTGCTGATCATGCCTACTATATAATGTTGTATTTCCAATAACATCCCCAGGGTACTTTAATGTTGTTGCTGATCATGTCTACCAGACAATGCTGTATTTCCAATAACATCCCCAGGTTACTTTAATGTTGTTGCCGATCATGTCTACCAGACAATTCTGTATTTCCAATAACATCCCCAGGGTACTTTAATGTTGTTGCCGATCATGTCTACCAGACAATGCTGTATTTCCAATAACATCCCCAGAGTACTTGATTGCTATTGCCGATCATGTCTATTATAGGTGCTGTATTTCCTATGATATCTGCAGTGTACTTGAATGTTGTTACTGTATTTTTATCATTATGGACAATACCTCTCTAAAGACAACGCAACAATCCATCGTGCTGCATTGTCCGACATTCGGTTGAAGATTATGAAATTACTTAAGCCATCTTCCTTGGTCAGGACAGACGCCGGATCTAAATGTGATTTAGTTGTGGTTATTAACTGTCTAACGAACATTTGTATATACATTTGTCTTGTTTTAATATATTATTCTAATACAAGTGGACTGTGTGCCGTTTAAATATTTTCTATCTTCTCT